CAAATGAGTGGAGCAGCTTTCAACTCAGGAAAAATCAAGAAACATTTCTTGAGCAGTGTTTTGTGATGCCGATATGGCTTATCAGCCAGGTTTTATAACTTCGCGGTGTGCTTTCTGAATCTAGCCAATTGTCAAGTTAATAATACACAATTAAAGAAACCATAGCATAGCCTATTGTGTGAACATAGTCACAACATACAGAAGTACATGACAGTTAGAACAATTAATTAATCAATGGAACAGCTTGCCTCCAGAAGTTGTAGATGCTCCAACACTGGAAGTCTTTAAGAAGATGCTGGATAGCCATTTGTCTGAAACGGTATAAGGTTTCCTGCCTAGGTAGGGGGTTGGACTAGAAGACCTCCAAGGTCCCTTCCAATTCTTCTATTGTGTTGTATTGTATTCTGAAGGGGACCAATCTTGCTCTCCTGTCCTGAGACCCTAGGGGGGCTAACCAGGAGCCCCGCAGAGCCCGCCAAGGAGGACAGGAACAACAACCGCATCTGACTCGTGATTTCCCTTGGGCTAATCCCTTCCCTTCTCTTTCCAACCCCTCCACCTTCCTTCCTTCCCTCCCTCCCTTTCCTTCTTTTCCTTATCTTTCTCTCCTTCCTTCCTTCCCTACCTTCTTCTCTCCTTTTCCTTTTCCCTTTCCTTCCTTCCCTCCTTCCCTTTCCTCGCAATCCCCTCCACCATTCTTCCCTCTCCTCCTTTCCCCCTTCTCCTTTTTCCTATTTCCTTCCTCCCTTTCCTCCTTCCTTTCCTCTTGTTCTTCATTACTCTTTCCTCCCTTCCCTTTTCTCTTCCCTTACAAGTCTCACCAGTTCCAACTGGTTGTGGTGATGTACAATCCCCCCCCAAATCTAACTCAAGGGAAGACGCCTTCTTTGGAAAGGCTTGGGTGGGAGCCTTGGGCCTCCTCGTCATCCCAAACCTAGAAGGGGGATCAGCCGAGCTGAGTTCTTCGTTGCTTCCCTTGGCAGATTGTCCTCCATCGGGCACCGGAGGTCCTGGCCTGCGACTGCGACATGGCTTCCGTCCACCATCTGCTGTCCCAGATCCCCCAGGACCTCCCTTACGAGATGCTCATCAGTCGGGCTGGAGACCTCTTCGTTCAGTTCCCGCCTTCAAAGCTCGCCCAGGAAGCGGCTCAGCAGCAAGCCGAGAGGTGAGGAGAAGCCTCCGTCCCTGGGGTTTTGGGCCCAGTGGGCACCACGCCACCATCCCTGGCAAGACCTCCGTGGCATTCAGTTCCTGTATCTGCCAGGGTTCCAAATAGGATCCAGAATTAAATCAGAGTCCGAGGCAAAGGATTCCTCAAAGCTCCAATTGATGGAGAGAGCCATGTTGGCACATCTGGGGAAACCCGAATCTGAAAGCTTCCCGGTTTCCCCCACCCAGTTGAAAGCTCAAGATCTCGCCCCCACGCCCACCA